AATCAGGGCTCAAGGCTCTGTTTACATTTTGTCAAACAAATACATCTGTTTGACCTGAAGTCTCCTTGGTTTATTACAGCAATTGCTTACTGTAAGTAAGCAACAAGGTGTTTAAATTTTACGCAAGTGAAATACATATTATGTTTCCTAGCAGGGGCCAAGATTCGGTCAATATTTTTTTTCTGTAGCATTGTTCTCAGATTCTGAGCTTTACTTAAGCAAAAGTTTACTTAACCAAAGGAAGCAAGTTCTTAACCTTGACACTAGAGCTGTGAGTTGAACTTCATCAGTGAACAGGCTTATTGGTAGTTCCTTGTTTAAGTCCACTACCTCAATGTTTTTCTTGAGCTTTTACACATGCACCACTTGGCACAGTCACAGACTGATAAGCAAGGGAATACAGCACCCAGCAGTCCCCTGCAATTATAGGCTCATGAAGCAAAGCTCTGTAATGGGTGACAGCTTGAGCTATGGAATCAACCAGCCAGATTTCAAAGCCAGAGTCCACTGTTTACTGGCTGGTCACCTTGGGCAATTCATTCAACCTCCTCAATCTCAAATTCCTTCTCTAAAAAATGAGGACATAAAAACATCCTCTTTATACATTTTTTTTTGTTTTGTTTTGTTTTTTGAGATGGAGTTTTGCTCTTGTTGCCCAGACTGGAGCACAATGGCATGATCTTGGCTCACTGCAACCTCTGCCTCCCAGGTTCAAGTGATCCTCCTGCCTCAGCCTCCTGAGTAAGTGGGATTATAGGCACCTACCACCATGCCCAGTTAATTTTTTGTATTTTTGGTAGAGACAGGGTTTCATCATGTTGGCCAGGCTGGTCTCAAACTCCTGACCTCAGGTGATCCACTAGCTTTGGCCTCCCAAAGTGCTGGGATTACAGGCATGAGCCACTGCACCCAGCCCACTTTATACATTTTAGGGCTTCAATGAGATAATCTAGTTAGTGTTAGCTACGATCACTATCATCATTATCATCATCATCATCATCATCATCATCACTGCCTCTTAGTCTCCCAAAATACCCAGTATAGTACCTTGCTCTGTGATAAAGAGGGAGCCATTTCCATTTGTTATGTAACTCATTCCATCCACTGATGCATTTTAAATTTGGAATGAAATCTATCAGGATTACACATTCAAATTCTTAAAGCTTTTCCAATGTACTCAGTTCCCATTTGAGGGATTGGGGGAGAGTATCTTCTTAAAATTTTTCAAAATACTTCAACCCTAGAAAATAATCTATGTATATAAAAGTTCTTTGCCAGGCGTGGTGGTTCACACCCGCAATCCCAACACTTTGGGAGGCCAAGGTGGGTGGATCACCTGAGGTCAGGAGTTTGAGACCAGCCTAACCAACATGGAGAAACCCCATCTCTACTAAAAATACAAAATTAGTTGAGCATGGCGGCACATGCCTGTAATCCCAGCTACTCAGGAGGCTGAGGCAGGAGAATCGCTTGAACCCAGGAGGTGGAGGTTGTGGTAAACCCAGATAGCACCATTCCACTCCAGCTTGGGCAACAAGAACAGTAAACTCTGTCTCAAAAAAAAAATTAAAATTAAAATTAAAAGTCCTTAATATATAATTCTTGGCACATTTTAGTAGACATATGATAACAGTTCTCAGAGATAAAAAGTAAAAAGGGTTCATATTTTATGATAGTCTTCAGGGACGACAAAGGCTTAAAGAAAGTGACTTGCAGCCAGGCGCAGTGGCTTACACCTGTAATCCCAGCACTTTGGAAGTCCAAGGCAGACAGATCACAAGGTCAGGAGATCAAGACCATCCTGGCCAACATGGTGAAACCCCATCTCTACTAAAATATAAAAAATTAACCAGGAGTGGTGGCATGCATCTGTTGTCCCAGTTACTCAGGAGGTTGAGTCAGGGGAATTGCTTGAACCCAGGAGGTTGAGGTTGCAGTGAGCCAGGATTGCGCCGCTTCACTCCAGCCTGGTGACAGAGCGAGATTCTGTCAAAAAAAAAAAAAAAAAACAAAAAAAAAAAGTGACTTGACTTATGTTTAAGAAATAAAAATGTTCTTGGATATGCTTTTTTGAATTAAACTGAATTTTATTTTGTGTTTTATCACAAGGATGCCATTATCTTCAGTAAATGTTTTCTTGGGAAACCCAGGCAGTGGGAAATTCCTCCAGAGAGCTGCTGGTTGGCAGGTGTTTTCCACATTACCTAACTGGAGAACTGTCAGCGCTCAGATCTCTCTGACATGGGGTAAACAGTGGCTCTCACCCCAAGCAGCTCTTTAGAATCACCCCAGGAGCCTTGAAAAGTGCGCAAGCCCAGCCCCACTGAGCCAGATTTTTGCTTTGGGATAGTCTGGGTGGGCCCCAGGTGTCAGAATTCTTAAAATCTTTCCAAGTGTTTCTAGAGAGAGTTATAGTCTAGTTCTCCCTGCTTAGCCTTCTATAATTCTATGTCTTCTACATGTTTATAGATTTCAGCTCATTAAAGTTCTCTCCTTTTTGTAACTTCTCTTTAAAAGGGGCTTTTTAAAAAAAAACTTTGTAAAATGATAAAACATAATAGGAATTATCCAGTTGGTTCTTCTGAAGCATATAAGCACTTGGTTTTACAGAAGAATTGGCAGAATTGCTCAGTAGCAACCTCTGAGATACTGGCATGGTAGTGACGGCTTTTTCATTTTATACAATCAAAGCAGCCACCTGTATTTTCCATTTTCAAAGTACGTTAACACAATGAATCTTGACCAGATGATTTAGCTCTTTGAAATTTACAAAGTGATGGCTTGAGTTCCATATATTGTAATAATAATAACAAATGATATAGAGAAGTAGTAAAAATAGTAATACTAGTAATAATAATACCTTTGTTCATCATTTCCTTGCACATCACATGTTCAAAACGAGTTGTGTTTGAGCCTGCTGAGATATGAAAATTAAAAGAAAGACTATGTATCTTAATGCTTATGTGTTAGACAGTTTTGGTTGAATATTCAGATAATTCATCTGGTACCTGCTGTAGACTCTGTGCTGGTGCACCAGTCATTTCTTAAAATAACCCTAACCATATGTGGCAACCGAAAGATGTGTATAAAAGGTCCCTAGGAGCCCCTAAGTGAACAGTGAAGACCCCTTAAATAGAGGAAACAAGGAAAATAGCATGTAAAACCCTCCTCTCCATCATAGTTCTATCGTCAGTTTCCTACCTCACAGATAGGACTCTTTCATTCAGTCTTGGAAGATCTACTAAGTTCTCTTTTTCAAAACATAAATGATCCACTTGGAAATGCTTTTACAATACATTTAGTGCATTTTGAATCAAGGAACTGTTTAATGTGCTTACCATGAGTAATTTCCTTTTACAAAAAACATTTGAAACTCATCATTTCTAGAAAGCCTCACCTGGTTATGTGGAATATGATCCCATTGATCTCTGGCTGTATCTTTTGATGATATATTGGAAGCCATATGCTTATAGGCATGTAATGACGTCCTATGTACGAGAGCACACATCAGACAGAATGTCCCTTTAATTTCTCCGACTTAAGCACATAGGACCTTTGAACATGCTCTTCCACCTGCTTGGGATATATTTGCTTCTACCAGCAACTCCTTTATCTAGCTCTTTTCAGATAAAGAACTAGGTAAAGCACTAGTTGCCCAGTTGTTTTTGTTCAGGGAAGCCTTCTCTGATCTTCAACTGTTCACTGATTCTGTGTTCTTATAGCATCTCTCCAAAGTCTTACTTTTCCACTTTTCGAGTGACCATTTTGATTGTTCTTTTGCCTGTCTCAGAGGCTGTAACTCTTTGACTCACACACTCAGCGTCTGTGTTGACTTTTGTTATCAGTATATTTCTAGCACTTAGTCCAGTGCTCGAATTCAATAGGTGACTAATTGTTGAATGAATACTGCGCTTTCTCTTTGAAACACAGCTACAGTTCCACTTTGCTGAAGCGTTTTGCACTACTTAACTTTTTGAAACTAACGTTCCAGGTAATACTTTAAAACAAAGATTAACGGTTAAGGAGAGTGATTAATTGTGCAAAAAGAAGGACATTTACTCAAAGCATTTCTTACTACATTTGAAACATAAACTAAAACATCAGTTTTTAAAAGCTATTCATAAGTTCACCATATTTATATAGGAACTATTTTCATTTCACCAAAGGACACTGTCCTTAAGTTGAAGTGATACTGGAACTTGGGTATTTAGTTCTAAATTTGATTTTCTTCTCCTCCTTCTTCGTGTTTCTTCTTGTTTTTCTGTGATGATGGGCTGCTTCATAAACTCTGGCTGGAAATCTGAAGGTATCTTAAAAAAACAGTGCCCTCTAGAGGCAAGAGTGCTCTGAATCATTCACACAAAATTACCTGAAGCTTGACTTCTTGTCTTGGTAAGCAGCACACTTAAACTACTCCTTCAGCCTCCAGGACCCCACTGTGCCAAATTCAGGAATAACACCTGTCTCATGTAAGACTTTTTCAGTCTGTAGGATCTTACTCGAAATCATAGGAGTTATTGTCTCACAAGACTTTTAAATGTCTGTGAGAGTGCGAGCATTGCTTTAGCAAGAGATGCCTTAACCCTTAAAACCACCTCAGTCAGTACTGTGACTCAATGCCTCTTAACTAGAAGAGTGTTAAATATGCAGATTTGAAAATATTGGGTTAATAAATAATGAGCAATTAAAGTTTTCCCTTATTAATGTTGCATGGTCTTTCCAGTAATTTTAAATCGACTGATCAGTACTAGTCTTAAACTAAAAAGAAAATAAAGTTTGAAGGAATGCATTTCACATGTCAGGAGATGAGCTTATTCCTTAATGGAGAGTCCTGGTGGAGACTCTGGAGTCAGTTCCTCAGTGGTGTCTGGTTGAACCAAGCACCAGTCAACAAAGGATCAAAAGTGGGATGTGGCATATGCTTTGGTATCAGTTGATGCCTTGTAATTGCAAGCTTTACAGTCATGCATGTTTTATTCTCTCTTTGTTGTGTTTTCCAGAGGGATAACCAATTGGCTGACAGAGTAACAAATGAAAAGTAACCTGACTCTACTGACCTGCTTAACCCCGCACGGGGGGAAGGATGGAAAGGAGCAACTGTTTGCTTTAAAACAGTGGAACAGGTATGGAACAGCCGCTTTTGTTGTTGCCTTCTTTTATTTCCTTGCACATCTACTTCCAGACCAGTTGAAAACAGCAAGTTGTTCCTGTTTGTGGACACAGAATCAGGGCTCCGGGTTCCAGGAACAGGTACTGGGGATTACTAGTAACATTTTAAGTTGCCCCATCTTCAGGTTGCTGTTTGTATAAGGACTAGTGCAATGAAAAGACCATTGTTTTCTTTTCTTTTCTTTCTTTCCTTCCTTCCTTTTTTTTTTTTTTTAATACAGAATCTCACTCTGTGGCCCAGGCTGGAGTACAGTGGCGCGATCTCAGATCACTACAACCTCCACTTCCCTGGTTCAAGCGATTCTTCTGCTTCAGCCTCTTGAGTAGCTGGGATTACAGGCACCCACTACCATGGCTAATTTTTGTATTTTTAGTAGAGACAGGGTTTCACCATGTTGGCCAGCCTGGTCTCAAACTCCTGACCTTGGCTTCCCAAAGTGCTGGAATTACAGGTGTGAGCCACCATGTTCAGCTGACACCATTGTTTTCAAATAGCAAATAAGCAATCATGCTAGGGAGAATTATTACTTTTAAATATAGGATTTCTATTTCGGATGCGCATTTAGCTTTAAGATACATTATTTGGGCTTATGGGAATTTTGTTCCATTAAATGAATTTCTATGGAGGAATCATAGAAATAATGACAAAATGGTAAAGTGTGTTGATTTCCCCAGTGAATGCCATCGAAAGTGTGTTTGCTGTGTTTAATGATCTAATCTCCTCTGCCCACATTCATTTTCTCAGTTGTGAAAAGACTTTGCCAAGAAAGGCATCGTTTGACTTTTTCAATTTTTTCAAAATGCATGTAATAGATATAGGTGCAGTTTCTTTTGTTTTGAAAGGAAGACTTCATATCAACATGAAAAATTTAGATCAGCACTCTTAGGACCCCTGGAATTAGAACCTTTAAAGTTTTTGTTCATTTTGAGTCAGTGTTTATTGTCACTGGGGGGCTGTACCTTCTTTCAGTTATATCCATTATCAAGAGGCACGTGATACCCGGTTTGGTAGTCACTCTATAGAGGTCAATGCTTTTTGTGATATTAATGGCTTTGTCATGCAGCTAGAAAGTAATTTTAAGTTCAGAAGATTAATATCATGTATTGGATGTTCAAAATTAAATCACTTAATGACTTTGCTCAACAAGATTTTTTCTCCCCATTGGATGCTTGATAGATGAGGAACTATAAATAAATAATAAAGACTTGAAATTTGCATAGAAATATTATAATTCAAAAGGTTACAGAAAAAAAGGAGTTTAAAGAGTTGCACTTTAGATAAGGAATTTTAAAAAGGTTATGGCTCCACTATTTAAGGTTACTTAAGGAAGAGTTTTTATGTTATTATGTTCTCAGGACATAACATCTTTACACCATTAAGGGTTTCAATGTATTATTCTATTGAATCTGAAACTAAATATCATAGAAATCAATAATATATGAAGATCTGGTTTCTAGCTTAACCTAAACAGGGAGGCAGGAAAAGTAGTGTGTTGTTGTTGCTTAAGGTACAAAGCAACCTTATGGTCTTTTGGTTCCTTCATGTTTCAGTCTATAGAGTCAGCCAACTACTAACCACATAGACCAACTATCTTTTGCTTGCATTTTAGTATAATGCAAATAGACTTTTTAAAAAAAGTTTCTTCATTAAAAGATGTTGTCTGTCTAAAAGGAAATCTTTGAGAATAGGGCAAAAGAAGATGAAACACAATAAACTGTCTATACCACCCATTCTGAATATTGATCAATCCATATCGTAAAACAAGTTGGCTACTGGATTTTGTTTAGCAGGAATAGATTATAATGTGATTCAAGTTCTAAATGAAGTGATGATTGGAAAAAAACATAATAAACCAAAGGACTATGTCTTCTTGGGTGTGAGTTTCTATGTATGAAACTCTTTGAGAAATGGAATCTGCCCCCTTTTTCTCCCACTGGAAAAGGAAGAGTAGAGAAGCAAAGGTCTAGGGAAGGGAAGGATGCGCTCCAGGCTGTTTCCAGGACCGTTCTCTGGAAGGAGCTGGGAGCAGTCCCCACCTGAACCCATCTTCTCTTTTCTACACCTGGGATAATTTTAAAGGAGGCAGCTTTGGAGAAAAATGTCCACAAAGGGCGCCAGAGGTCTTTGCAGGCTCCTTGGGGCTGCTTTCCTTACCCTGGAGAGGATACTGGACCAGGTCCAGGCACCCTCACCTCCAGAAACCTCGCAGTCTTCCTCTGAAAAGCATGAATGCTGACGTTAGGTTGCTTTCCTCACGGACATCGGTGTACCCAGTAAAAGTGCTGCCCAATGCCAAACCTAACATGCTGTCACCACCCAGTCAGCAGGGAAATAAGAACCAGGAGTTTTGGAATGGAGACGGGAGAGTGTTTCTTCACAGATGGTAGGAGCAAGTTTAACAAAGACCAGAAGCCCTCAGGGCTATGGCTCTTGTGGTTCCCACAACCCTGAGCCACAGGGCTTCCTAGAGGTGCCACAGGAGGTTTTGGCTCAGAGGCCAGGAATCTTCTTTCCTGTGTGGCTTACAAACTGGCCTCCCTGCAGAAGTTCTGAAATTTTTGCATAACCCACACATTCCTCTACTTCCAGCTAACTCTACTTTCCTAACTAACTCCTTCAGGAACTCCTCTTAGTCCACATGCGGGCTCAGTGGCTGTGCAGAGGGAAAACACTTGCCACCGTAGCCCTTAGCTCCCACTGCGCCCTCCTGTAGCCCCTCACCCTGGACAGAGACGCAGGGCCCCTCACGATCTACAGCTGGGCACTAGTGCAAGGCTGCTACAATTCAGCATCACCACTATTCAGAGTTCCTGTGAGGATCAGATGAAATACTGGTTGGGGGAAATTACTTGTAAAGCATCTTACAAATGTCAAGTGTTACTTCATATGACACTCTAGTAAGAACACGGGCTTTAGAACCAGATAGCACTAAATTCAAAACTCACCTGTGTGAACCTGGGCAAGTTGCTTTACATCTGGGAGACTCACTTCCCTCATCCATAAAATGAGACTGCAAAGCAGAGAGGTATATGCCTGTTGCCCCTCAGGGGCTACCGGCCACTTGTCTTCTAAGAGACTTCCTATGATAGCATTGATCACCATATCATGAACTTACCGTGGTCAAAACAGTAAAAGTCTGTCCAGTTCTCAGCCTTGGAAACTCAACCAGCTGAGTTGGCGGCAGCCAGAGAGCAGGGCCTTGCTGAAGGCCACACTCCCTGCAGCCACGTTCTCTGGATCGGGCACAAACTCTGGATGTCTGTTATTTTAAGAAGGGAAACAGCTATCCTTGGAACCAGACCACTTGTGTCAACATGACCAATTCATGCCCTCCTTGTGGGTGGATCTTGACAAATCATCATCAGATGCCAATTTATTCATTTACCAGGAGACAGAATTGTCCCTGAGGCCAGGAAGAAGAACTGAATCCATGTGACTAGTGCCTTCTCTTCCTTGAGGAAGGCTTATATAGAATGCCAAATAATAACCAGAAGGAGGCTTGTGAGCATGGAGTTAGATGAGTCCAAGGTTTAACAACGAAGGCTGAAATCCCCAGATGAGCTTCTCTCAGAAGCAACCGCCTGGCCAGTGGGGCCTGAGTCCTTTCCCTCCTTCCTTGCAATAGCACTTGGATGGCCCAGCCAGCATCGCCCTCCGCATTTGATTTTCTCTGCTTGCCCATGTCTGCTCATCCTCCTGAATAACTGACACAAGAAGAACCTGACACTGTCAGTTACGAATATGCAGTTAATCAGGTTCAATCAGGTTCTATCAGGTCTTGCAGGCCCAGGAGCAATTTCTCTCTTAAAGATGATTTTATGATAAGACAGCTTTTTCCTGATCCAGCATGCACCGATCTCCCATTTTAACTGTCAAAAAACCATTCTGTTTATCTTACTCCTAAGCTTTTGGGGGTCTCTCTCTGATGCCCCCCAAGAACTGATAACAGGACTAAATGCTACGACATAGGAAAGTTGTCTTTCTGGCGCGTAGGAGGGGCTCAGCCAAATCGAATTCCCTGTTCTCCTTCCCTTTCATGCAATAAAACAGCTCTTAAGACTTTTTATTATAAAGATTAATAGAAAATAGTATTCCAGCCCCTAAGGAGCTCAGAGTATGAAGAGACATGTGAGTGAATAATGTTTTGTTGGGCATAACAACCCTGTTGTTCCCAGGCCCACTGGCTGTGGGAACAAATCTGGCTTTCCTGGTATTCATGTAATTCATTCTGCTGTGCTGCTGGACCTCATCTGTTCAAATACAGGCCCCCACCTCCCTCAAAATCCTCCCAGAGACATACCAGTGTGCAGGTAGAGTTGCAGAGAGCAGCTTTAGTGTCTACCCTCGATCCCCACTATCTCCATTAACATTAGTCCACATCATCCCCATTTTAAATTTGAATCAATGATGTTTTCTTAATCCCAGCTAAAGCATACACAAAGCAACCTAAAGGCACCCCACCACCCAGCTTCCCACCCTCACTCTTCCTGCCCCTTGCTGGTACTGAGTCTTTCCTACATTGTGATTCTGGAGCTTCCAAACACCGCAGATATTTCTGAATATCCCTATAGGGTAATTGCAAATGTTTTCTGAAATGACTCTGAGCATTCTGTGACCAGCCCTTCTCCTGTCAGGCCTGGAGCCAGGGGAAGGGGTAGGCAGCAGTGTTCCCTGACTGTTCTGCCACTTTGTCGCTACTTTTTTGGTAAGAAAATGTTGGTCTGGCCTGGCCTGGGCGCTGTCTCTCCCTATGATACAGTTTCAAAGCTGGACATCTTTGCTCCTTTTAATTTTTATGGAGGGCTCATGCAAACACCTCTTCAGTCTCTAAGTTCTCCCCCCGGGGAGCTCAAAAACATGATACTGGGCAGGGCCGGAGACCAGTGGGCATCATCTGGTCTAGACTCCCCTCTTCTTCTCTCAGAGCTACATCCCAATCACAATTTCCTTCCTCCTCTTTCAGCCCCCAAACCCAGAAGTCCTCTTTCGTGTTAATTTATGCAAATAGATGACCAAGAGAGTCACTGGCCACCAAGGCCGTAAGATCCAAGGTTAGAATAGATAAAAGGGCTATAATAGAAAAATACGAACCAAATTCTACAGTAGCAAGTGGTAGTATTGCTTTCAGTTCAGACTTCACCTTTTCCGTGAGGCTGTCCCTCTCAATCTCACTCAAGTTAAGCACTTACTCTTGAATCACCCAGAGGACATTTGCCAAATACCTAATATGTGCCAGGCACAAAGTGAGGCTTCTGATGGCACGATTCCCAAGTAGAATCCTCTTTCTTCTGTTTGATCTCTATACTTGGTACTTCTCTGATTCTAAACACTAGTTTCATTATGGACTTACACATTTGAATCACATATTAGTCTGCAACCTCTCTGAAGACCTAGCCCACACTTTAGGCTTTTGAATAAATACAGTCATCTGAATAACAACCTTTCGGTCAATGTCAGACTATATATACGATGGTGGTCCCAGAAGATTGTAAAGGAGTTGAAAAATTACTATTGCCTAGTGACATTGTAGCTATCATAATGTAGTGTGACCCATGACTCGTGTCTGTGGCAATGCTGGTGTAAAGAAACCTACTGCATTGCTCAATATATAAAAGTGTACAGTGATGTCCCAGGCCTTCATATTCACTCATCCTTTACTCACTGACTCCCATCCCAAACAACTTCCAGTCCTTTGAGCTCGATTTGTGCCAAGTGCCCTATGCAAGTGTTTTTTACCTTTTTAAAAAAATCTTTTATACTACATTTTAACTGTACCTTTTCTGTTTTTAGGTATGTTTAGACAAACAAATACTTACCATGGCATTAAAAAGTTGCCTGCAATATTCAACACCGTAACACACCGTACAGATTTGTAGTCTAGGAGCAGTAGGCTAGACCATACAGCCTTGGCGTATAGTAGGCTCTACTATCTAGCTTTGTGTAAATACGCTCTGTGATGTTCACACAGCGACAAAATCCCCTAAGGATGCATTTCTCAGACCATAGCCTCATCGTTAAGTAGTGCATGACTGTAACTGAATTCTTGGCTGTGGCTGTTATCAGAATTCGTGTAGTAGATTATCTTCAGTAAACTGTGTATCTCTTTCCTGGATTAGCGACAGCAAGATCCGAGTAGGAAGCAAACAAAGTGAGTCATAGGGCAGGATGCTCACAAGCATGAAAACTGTCCTTCTCTGTGCCTTGTTAAAATTGATTTTATGACTCTCCATTGATTTATGGGAATCATGACATCTATCTTATTTCATGACATAAATAATGAAAAGGAAATACATTTTTCCCTCAAATTGAAACTATCAAAATGGGTTCTTTTGGATGTTGCATATAGAGAAAAATCGATAAAGCAGACATAACTCTTCTTATCTGTACTAGAAATGTCAACACAATACATTCGAATCTATTGGGTTTGAATATCTTAGTTTATCACTATTACTTCCCCACAGTAGTCTCTCCCAAGTACCCAGAAGGTGCATTCAACTTAAAGGTAGAATAGGTGCAGTGATTTAAGAAAGAAACATCTACAATAGTTAGTCTGGCTTGGCAATGCTCAGGGGAGCTGCCACTGGTGTTTAATTGAGAGAGTATAATGGCACTTAGGAGTCCTGGTTGACAGTGACCAAAACCTAGCTGAAACACACAAGAGAAAATATGCATGCACATTTGTACATGGAGAGGAATTTTATTGACTCAATCCAAGGAAGGACTGACGGGCAAACTGTGGTAGGGTAAGAGTTGCAGGTGGACCCAAGAACAACTGGAACCAGGAACTGAACACCACTGAGGCTTTCACTCTCTCAGTTGAAGCCAGCCAACAATACACAAATGTTACATTGTATAGGTTTCACCATCTGAGAGATTGTTCTACGTTTTTAAAATCCTAGGGAAGGATTCTAATTGGTCTGGCTTGGGTCAGGTACTTCCTCCTGGTCGACTAACTGACATCAGGTAAGACTGAGGTGGGTCTCAGGAAAAGCACAAGTTGCAGTGAGGACCTATCCACTCCCCAGAAAAAGGAGAGCTAAACGGGTAACAGGAAAATTATCTACTACAATGAACTCTGGCCAGAACATCCCAAAAGTCGTTTGTTAAGTTGGCCTAGATGGCCTCTAACTCTATATTCTGTAGTCTTAGGATGTGAATTATTATGTTGACTTATTTATTTGACAAATTAAAATTGTGTATATTATGGTGTACAGGTTGATGTTTTGACTTATATGTACATACATTGTGGAACGGCTAAGATAAGCTAATTAGCATACACATTAGCTAATTTCTCATTTTGTTGTGTGGTGAGAACACTCAAAAGCTACTCTCACAGCAATTTTCACATACATATGTAATATATTGTTATTGGCTATTGTCACCAAGTTGTACAACAGATTACATGAACATATTCCTCCTATTTAACTGAAATGTAGTATAATTTGAACAACACCCCTCAGCCACTGCTTGCTCCATACCCACCACTTCCATTGCTGGCTAAATTTGGAAAATATGTGAAAAAGAAGTTAAGCAAATTCCAGAAAAAAAACAAAACATCAAAAAAACTCTACATTTTCCTGGCCTGTGAGGATTGATTCTCAATAATTCTGAATTCGCTGGGTGTTTAGATGACATTTTGCTTCTATTTAGCCATGTGGACAAAGCCCTGCTCCATTTGCATGGCTGCCTGTATTCTTTAACACCCTGCTTCAGAGCTCTGTTTTTGGCTCTCCTAACCTTTTTCTTCCCTCCTTTTGCCGTTGGTATACAAATATTCTTCAGATCGTCATTTTACAAAAGGTCAAAAATGAGCTGTCTGCCCCTTTAGAGAGTGGGAAGTAGTGTGCATAACCTTCATGGCTGTTTCCCTCCCTTTAGTTTTGCAGCCTTAGAAAATGGCATGTAACATACCTAACCAAAGACAGCGGACTCTGTCAACAACAGGAGAAGCTCTATATGAAATTCTCGGTCTGCATAAGGGAGCATCAAATGAAGAAATTAAGAAAACCTACAGGTACAGAGTTTAATGATGATATTCCTTGTGCTACTAGTGACAGTTATTTTGTGATTGGCAGGTGCCTCCATTAATGACACAAGCTTCTTGCCAAGACCAGGTAATCCAAATTTTAGATCCAATGTTCACTGCTCTACAACATAGGAGTTAGGAACAGACAATCATGACCTTGATTTTATGAAAGAATTCACTGATGATGCTGGGCCTTGGGAAAGGGCAGCCTGTGTCTTAGACTTGGAGTGTGTGTGTGTGTGGTGGGGGGAGACAGAGAGAGAGAGAGAGAGAGAGAGAGAGAGAGAGAGAGAGAGAGAGAGATAAGTAAACCAACCACAATCAATCGCTGTCTTTTTTTTTTTTTTTTTTTTTTTTTTGTGGGGGGACAGAGTCTCACTTTGTTGCCCAGTCTGGAGTGCAATGGCACAATCTCGGCTCACTGCAACCTGCACTTCCCAGGTTCAAGTGGTTCTCCTGCCTCAGCTTCTTGAGTAGCTGGGATTACAGATGTGTACTACCACGTCCGGCCAATTTTTGTATTTGTTTTAGTAGAGACGGGGTTTCACCATTTTAGCCAGGCTGGTCTTGAACTCCTGACCTCATGTGGTCCACCTGCCTCGACCTCCCAAAGTGCTGGGATTATGGGGATGAGCCACTGCGCCCAGCCAATTGCTGTCATTTAACCCATCTAATATAGCATCACTGAATCAGGTAGAGGAATTCTTTTTTAATAAAAGGAGTTTGGTGAAATGCTGTATTTGTAAGACACACTTCTCAAGCCCTTAATTTTGATCTTTTATATTTAATCGTCTTCCAAGTTAGCTATTTTTGGAAAACTTTGAAATGTCTTTTTAAGTATCCAAGGAATAAAAATACATTAAGGGAGAAATGCTACCACTATGACCCAAACATTCTGAGGGAAGCTGTTTGAAAATTGAAGTCAAAGGGACAAATCCCCACTCAAAGCACAAAAAAAATCATCTCTAGACCAAAGTCTAGAAAGGCCTATCAGTGATGGAAGAAGCACTGGTTCCTGGCTTCCTGCTACATGAGACTTTCTGCCCTGGTACTATAGTATGTCAGTCCTCCGAGGATGCCATGATGAGTTTAATGAATTTCTCAGACCTCTGATATTTGTCACACCGAGAAAGCATGTAGCCTGTCTGATACTTGTCTTGACAATATTTTGGTACCTTTTAGGACATTTTGAGGTATTTAACTGTCTGTTGGCTAGTTGGAGGAAGAAAGATGTGTAGACAGTAACCACCTTCTGGACAGGGAAGCTGCTTTCAGAGAGAGAAAATCTTTTCAAGAGAGTGTTTTTCGTTTCTAAGTTTTGAGATAGGGCCTCACTCTGTCACCTAGGCTGGAGTGCAGTGTTGTGATCATAGCTCACCACAGCCTCGAACTCCTGGGCTCAAGCAATCCTCCTGCCTCAGGCTTCTGAGTAGCTAGGACTTCAGGCTAGCTACTCAGGCTATCAGGACCGCCATGCCTAGCTAATTTTTTTAAATTATTTTTTAAAAGAGATGGGTACTTGCTTTGTTGTCCAGGCTGGTCTTGAACTCCTGGCTTTAAATAGTGCTCCCTCCTTCGTCTCCCAAAGTGCCAGGAGTGCTTTGACAGTTTCACATTGAAGCCTAAAGTGGCTAAGACTCAGGTTATTTCTTACACATAGTTTTAAGTGGATGAAACAACCAGAAACTTTTGACTTGTGATACTCTACCATGAAGGACATGGTGATAACAGAAATAGTGGAATGATTTGTGCTTGTAAACATTTAAGATTCACTTGTGGGTTTTGGTGCTGATGATTAAACTGTTTTCCAACTTGCAAGAAAAGAATGTTGAGTACAAAATTCATTTTCTTATTGTAGAAAACCTGCAAATTAGTAAAATGAAGGCAATTATCCGTAATCCTACCTACCTCTAGTAATAATTATCATTGATATTTTGTTTCCTTCTAGTCTTTTTTTTCCTATCTAGAAAAGACATTTAAAAATCAGGTTGTATTCATCTATATTCTTGAACTATCTCTTTTTTTAACAAATCCTTATGAAAATATCTTGATGTTATTAAATAGTCTGATCTTTAATGGCTGTGGCCTACAGTTATTTGGTAATTTATTTAATCACATTGTAAGTTATTATTAAACATGTAAATTCTTTTACTTATTCCTTATACTTAATATCCTATACATATATTATAATGCATATTTTCAATTTCTTATTTTTATGAGGTATAAAGCTATGCCTTTATATGGTAAAAGGATCAACATATAAATAAAAGTTTCAGATTTTAATCAGTTACTTCTTGATTTAGTCTTGAATTAAGTTTTTTAAACCTATCTGTTTCTTCTTACTGTATGGAAGTTTAAAATTAGGCAAATTTGTTAGTCATTTATTTTATGACTTTTGTTTTACCTATTATGGTTAAAAGATAACTCAGCCTTGTTACAATTACAACACTATAAAAATATTCACCTTGTTTGCTTCTAGCACATTTATGATTTTGCTTTGACACTAAATCTTTGATCCAATTGGAGTTTATTTTGGCATAAGGGATGAGGCAGAAACCCAGATCTAATATTTTTCCAAATCCTTAGCTAACTAATACTTATTGAGTCTCTACTTCTATCTATTAACGGGAAATTCTTTGGCTTTGGATTGGAACCTTCATCCTGTGCTATAGGAACCGAAATGCCTTTAAGAAGCATGTTTTGAAGGAATAATGACAGTGGTGCATCTTGGAACCAAATAGTTACATGGAAATGGTAGAGTGTGATCAAAGTCAAAATCAGTCTTCTAGTTTATATTTTCCTTAAGATGCTAGCTAGAGAAAAGTCTTTGCTGTTTCATTTTGCCCTAGACCTATCCAGAGGAGTGTGCCTGGGAGCTGCCCACCCCTGTTGATGGACACTCCTGCTGGTGGACGTCTTTGACTAAAGATCTCTGAACTTGACTCTTAAGGCTTCAGGCTGGGACACTGTGCTGGGGGAGGGGAGGTGGGCGGGAATGCCCTAAGTGCATCATCAGTGAATTGATTTTTGTAATACCTACAAAAATGTCCCCCAAAATGAGGAGGGAAAAAAAAGTGACATCAAACTTCCTTGTAATTTTTAAAATCCACTTCACAAATGTGACTTTTAATTGCCTTTATTAATTTTGTAAGCTAAAATTTCAGGTCATATGTTAATTAAGGCATTAATTATGCTGAGTTGTTTGCAAGTTTAATAATTACAACATAAAATCTATTCATGTAATTAGTGTCTTGCTATTAATTTTGTTTTAATGTCATACAAATATTATTTTTTCAGGTGATTAGGGTACTAGTATGCTGTCAAAAGCCTCTACTTCTCCCTAAATTACACATTTGTATTCTGCAAGTTATTCAAAATGTATGAGCAAGCCAGAAATCCACTGAGAATATTATTCTTATATTCTGGGATCTGGATCAAAGCAGTCACAATATAGTGAAATTAAAAGTCAGTGAAATTTAATAAAATCACCAACTGTTGAATCCATACGCTACTTGGCCAATGTTATATTATAATCTTTGGCTTTACTTGAAAACAAGGCTGAGTTAGAAGACTTCTTTCTTCTTTTGCATTTCATGTTTCATAAGATAATATATTCATTTGATTAAAATGAAAACAGGTATATAAAAAAGTCTTTCTCTTACCTCATATCCCCCAAGTCACTTCCCCTGGGGAAACAATATTATCAATTCTTTGTATACCCTTCTAAAGCAGTCTTACACCTACATAAGCATATGTAGGCTGGGCACAGTGGCTCATGCCTGCAATTCCAGCACTTTGGGAGGCCGAGGCGGGTGGATCACTTGAGGTCAGGAGTTCAAGACCAGCCTGGTCAACATGGCAAAATCCCATCTCTACTAAAAATATAAAAATCAGCTGGGTGTGGTGGCACATGCTTGTAATCCCTGCTGCTCGAGAGGGTAAGGCACAAGAATTGCTTGAACCTGGGAGGCAGAGATTACAGTGAGCCGAGAGCCGAGATCATGCTGCTGCACTCCAGCCTGGGTGACAGAGTGAGACTGCATCTCAAAATAAATAAATAAACAAGTATGTATACAAGACTTCCAGTCTAAGCAAGATGGTGTAGACTTTTCTATTCGTGCTAAGCACATCTAAAAGCCTTGGAAGTAACAGAAGAGGCAACCAAAAGAGAACTCCAAAAGGTAGAAAGAGAAGGTAAGTTTGTCAGAAATCCCAGGTCACAGCATCAGGGCATCTTATAATCCCTTCCACCCCAACCCAGCAAAAGACAACCCAGGCCCAGCTTTTCCCAATACCCAGTCTAGCAAGAGAAGGCATCCAGGTAGCCTTATTCTTCCTCCAAATTGAACAGAGGTCCTGCCAACAATGCTAGACAAGCCCCACGAAACAGCAAGGGTACCAACGGAAAGCCTCCCATCTGCATCTTGCCGAGAAAGTGCTCTCTTTTCCCACTGCCAGCCTGGGACTCCTCTCTCTCACCTGGAGACTCCACTTGACAGAGGACAATTAGTAAGGGGGATTCTACCACAAGGAACACCCAGCCCCAGAAATGCTTTTGTTCCCGCAAGCTGGAGACTCCCTTCCTTCACCTAAAGGCACCTAGCTCCTCAGCTACTACCAACAAGGAGTATGGAGAGCCTCAGAAGCAAGAGACAAACCAAACCAACCAAAGAAGCACTGTAAAGACTCTGAAAGGTAGATCATTACTGGAACCACTCACAAAAGTAGGCTAGAACCTGCTTGCTAACCCTAAAGAAGAGAACTGCTTGCTAAAATAAAACAATTTAAATAGAACCCAGAATCTCCCAACATGATAGTCAAAATACCCAGATGCAATCAAAGTCACCCATCCTACAAAAAAGTGAGAAGATCACAACTTGAATAAGAAAAGACAATCAGCTAACTCCCATGCTGAGATGAACCAGATGCTGGAACTGTCTGCAAAGCATTTTAAAGTAACCATCAGAAAAAAATTAACAAGGAATGAC